GTGCGGTGGGCGTGGCCTTGGTGGGGGTGTGGCTACAGGGCGTGGCGTGTGGCATGGACAGTAGGCGGGACCTTTGATGGGGTGTGGCTACAGGGCGTGGCGTGTGGCAGGTGCGGTGGGCGTGGCCTTGATGGGGGTGTGGCTACAGGGCGTGGCTGTGGCGTGGACGGAGGGCGGGGCTTTATGGGGGTGTGGCTACGGTGGGCGGGCCTTGGTAGGGCGGGGCGTGGGCTGTGGGCGGGGCCTTGTCGGTGGGGGCGGGGCCCAGTGGGCGGACCACTGCGGCCCAGCAAGGGGAGCAGGCGGGTGGAGGACGGCAGTCCAGGCCCGGGAGGACGCGGAGCCATGGCAGAGGCCCCTGGGCAGTCTGCGGGCACTGTCTCGGCCTCCGGAGTGTGACGGTTGGGTGAACGGCTCTGGGGCCCGCTGGCCCGGATTCCATGCCGGGCTGATGGCCGGCCAGGTGACCGCAGGCCCAGCCCGACCCGACGCCGTTCCGAAGGCCATGACCCTGGCTCCCCTGCGAGGGACGGGCAGCAGCACCGTCTCCGGGAGAGGACACCGAGGGGTGCGCGGGGCAGGCTGCAGGCGGCCCAGCGCGGGCGGGCGGCTCCTCTGCCCTCCTGGGTCGGGCATTCAGGACGGAGATCCCAGGAAAGGGGGGCGGCTGATGCGCTTCTGTAGCTCCGCGCTTCCCCGGCTGGGCTGGGACCCCGCCTCCGGCCAGGCCAGGCCCTGGGGGCTGCAGTCTCCACCACCTAGACACGGCTTGGAGGCCGAGGGGAGTGGCTTGCTGGGAGGGACGTGCGGGGACATGTGGGGACGTGTGGGCCCCTCCAGCCAGGCAATTACCCGAGGAGATAGCATTGATTAACACATTAATAAATAACGTGCTATTAAAAGATGGTCTCAGACAGCCCGGGATAATTGCCTTGGTCAGGAACGGCCTCTGCCTCGTCTCAAAATGCCTTCCTTCTGTCTCCGTCCTCAGTAAATCCAGAAGCTGTTCTGTGGCCTGGCTCTGGCCTGACCCTGGGGAGGCAGAGTCCTAGGCTGGGTTTGTATGGAGGCCAAAAGGATCAAGGGCAGATGAAGCCCAGAATATCTCCTGGTGCCCTGAAGCCAGACCAGGCAGGCAAGGCTCCCCGGCTTTCCACTGCTCAGCTTCCTGCTAGGTCACGCTGCAATCATAGAAACTCTGGCTCAGCCCCCTTCCCTCTAGGATCAAAGCCCCAGGGCCGGCCTGCCCAGGACTCGGTCCTCCCGGACGAGAATTTAATGCCTGGATACAATCCAACCCATCATAAACAAGTTTGGGGGCTGTCCTGGGGAAAGCCCTGCCTACCTACCTCCAAACATTCTCACAGCAGTTTGCCTTTGGCTCTGATTCCCTGGCAGGTCCACTCCTGGACTCTCCTGGCGGGTCCTGTGCTATGGTCTGCAGGAGCATGAGGGCAGCAGGCAGAAGGACCACCCCCATCCCTGAGCAGCAGCAGATGACAGCCAAGACCCCACACTACCAAGGGCCTGCTCTGTGGACCTCCATCCGCTGCAGCCCAGTAAGGAGCTTTCTTCGCCTCACCCCACCCAGCAGGAGTAGCAGGTGGGGCCGCCGGAGCTGAGGAGAGGGAGGACCCATCCTGCCAGGCAGGTACTTGCTGTGGGATGGGAAGTTTGTGCTGTGTAACATCCATCCCCTCTCCCCTACCTCAGTGCTCCTCCCAGGGTGGGCTTCCCCTGTGCACCCAGGGGACAGGGGGCAGTGTCGCTTCTCAGGGGCAGCCCACCCTGTGAGAAAACAGTGCCAGACCAGCAGCCCTCACGCTGCCTGCCACCCTTTTGCCTAGAGCACCGTGGGGAGGCGGCACAGTGCACCTCTAGCCACATGAAGGGACTCAGCTGGGCCTGCATGAGAAGCCAGCATCCCCAGCCCACAGCACCTCCCTGGCTCCCAGAGGATGGTGTGATGGGAAAAGAGGCTGCCTGCTACCTGGGTTTCCAGGAAATGCCATTGCTTCCTCTCAATTGTGATTGGATCACTGTGACGTGGAGCCCTGGCCTGAGGAGGTCGCCTGGGTCCCAAGCTTGTCTGCAGTTAATGGAGAGTCCCGGGTCCTGCGGTCAGAGCCCCACTGGCCTGTAGATTGTGCTCTTTGGCACCCCTGGCAGAGGGCATGCCCTCTGAGGTGAGGCAGACCCTCCAGCTGGAAAATTCATCCCACACCGTCAGATCAGTGAGCTTAAAGGGGGAGAAGGGCTGTACACAAAGCCTTGCGTGTCGACTGTGGAAGGAAAATAACTGGCAAGTTCCACGGGTGACACTGCTTGGCGGCTGCTTCCTGGGAAGCCAGGAAGCCAGAGAGGCCAGGCCAGCATGGAGGGCCTGGAGCAGCTGGCAGAGCCCAGGCTGCAGCGCAGGGGGCATGGAGGACGCTCCGTGGAGCAGGAGCACCATTCTGCCGTGCAGAGCTGGGCTCTGTGTACCAGCAGGACAGGGGCTGCTGCTGGCTGCAGCGGTGAGCGGCAGGGGTGCCATCCAGCCCTTGCCACGCATCAGACACTGACACCCACAGCAGCCTTGCCGTCAGCCTCTCAGGAGACCACTGTACACTGTGTCACATGAGCAGACCAGGCATCCAGGTGAGGGGCCGCATCCAGGGTCTCCTGGGCAGTGTGTGGCAGAGCAAAGCAGCAATCTCTAGAGTCTGTGCCTCACCAAGAGACCCCCACATCTGGGGGTCCAGAAGCCCCCTCCAGGGGCTGTTCGATGTTCCAGAAGAGCATCTCCACCTCCCAGGGAACCATCTGGAGCTCGCGCCTACAATCTCCTATCTCCACCTCGCCCTGCCCAGGGCCCGCTGGGGAGGAAGGGAGCCCCGCAGCCTCCATCTGGAGCAGGGAAAGAGAGGGTTACCATGTTCTTATGGTCCCCACCTTTCACCTGCACATGAAGAGGGGCCTCGGGGCTGGGGTGTGTGGGAATCAGCAGTTCTCCAAGCCCTTACAGCTCTCCTCCAGCCTCAGTCCCTGCACTTGACAGCTAAATTAAAACCACCAGGAAAACAAGCACCGGCCTATAAAATATGAATGAAAGGGTCAAGAAAGCCTGGGACTGTGCAAAGTGGTCTTTCCCACCTGGGGCTGGTGTGGACAGAAATGGAAAGTGGCTGGGCCAGCCTTCCCTCCATCCCTCCCTCCTTCCTTCCCTCCTTCCCTCCCACCAGCCACCAGCAGGGCTGAGCCTACACAGGGCCGCGTGCACGTGTACATGCATGGCTTACAAGTACACGCTGACTCCACATGCATAACTGTGCACACAGCCTGTGTGCATGTATGAATGTGTCCACGTGTGCACATGGAGAGACGTACGTGCCCGCCTGTCCTAAACTTCCTCAAGTTCTCTGCTGAGTATCTGCCACATGCAGGCCCAGCGGAGCCCCAGGTGACATGGCGCCTCCCGGGTGAGTGGAGCAGGTGGTAGCCGCAGAGCAACAAGCCTGTGAGAGCCAGGGGCAGGAGGGGTGGGAAGCTGCTGTGAAAATCCAGAGGACGGAGCTCCCCTGGGGGTGGGCGTACGTGCGCGGAATGAAATTTACACATCCCAGCTCAGTGCCCACACCCTTGGGCCCTCATCTTTATTTGTTGAAGGATCATGTGTCCGGTGACAGATGGAAGGTCACCAGTGTCCCTCCTGCCCTCAGCCCCAGGCCTGCCACTGGCCGAGTCCGGCTCCTTGCCAGCGGTGTGGGGGAGCAGGAGGTGGTGGATATCGGAGTCCCCATGAAAATCCCAGTTTCAGGTGCATGGCTTGCTCTTGCGGCTCAAGTGCTTTATCATGGAAATGCCTGGTGGTTTTTACAAAAGGAATAACGTGGAGTGTGGGGCTTTAATCCTCGTTCTTTCTCCAGACATAGACACGTCCACAGCCATTCCGTGAGTCCCTGGTTGTTTCCGGAGCAGCAAGCAGACAACAAGGATGATTTATCTTAATCCCCACTCTAGTCTTTGAAGTTAGAGGTGCTTACGTGCCTTCGAGTCCCAGCACCACCCTTCACCGTGTGGGCTGGGCTGCCTCGCTTCCCTTCCCAGCCTCATCGCTGCTGGAAGAGAGGTCAAGCCGTGTATCTCCCAGGGCTGCGTGAGGCAGGGCAGTCTACGCTGCGCTGCCCCTGGAAATCTCAATGGCCTAAACCACAAAACCGCTCTCTCCTTCAGCTCTCGTGCCCATCGTGGGTGGAAAAGGTCCTGGGAAAGTGGTAGTCGTTCGGGGACACGGGCAGGTGGAGCTCATCCCAGAAGATGTTTCCACAGTTCCAGAGGGTGAGCAGAGAAAACACAATAAGCCTCACGCTGTTTCTTATAATCTCCTGCCGTGAAGGGGGGCTCATGCCTTCTGCACCCAGGCTGCGGCCTGAAGGCCTGAACTCACCGAACTAAGAGGGGAGCGAGGGGGAGCCAGTGGCCGGGGAGAGCGGAGGACTGGAGCCGAGGTGGGGCTCACTTAATGGAGAAGTCCGGGTGGCTCTTTTCCGCTCACTCCCAGCGGCCGTGCGTCAACCTCCGCGATCGTTCCTTGTGTGAGTCACCAGTGCGTTATCTCCCAGCTCCAAAACATGTTGGAACAGGAGCCCTGGGTTGAAAGGCAGGTTTCCTTCATGTTTTCCTAAAGTGGGGGGTTGGTGGGCGTCTCGCGGGGCGATGATAAGAGGGAGGCAGTTAGGAAAGGCTCCCTTCCTAAGCCATGGTGGTGTGGGACTGGCAGAGCCCCCCAGGGACCCTCTGTGACCTCACAGCCCCAGTGAGCACTGCGGCATTCCAGCATGGAACCCAGGGCTCCTGGGATCCGGAAGTTGCCCCTGAGGACGGCCCGCTCGCCGCCACCTGAACCCAGGGGCTCCACACCCCACTCTGCTTCCTTCTGTGAGACTCTGACCAACCGTGGTGCTTGGGAGAACCCATCCCTGGCCAAAGTAACCAGACTCACCCGGTCCTCAGGCAGG